TTGACATCATTATCACTGGTATATGCAACTGGGATACGATGAGGTGAGGTGAAATTGGGTTTAACGTCGTGCTTGAGAATATTTCGCTCATATGAACGCGTGCATGCGTGTGTATGTGTATGTGTGGCTGCTTGTACTAGCCCAGACTTAAGCTGGTTTTATAGTGCTAGCCCACTGAGATACCATGCCGCAGTGAAGCAGGAATACCCCACTCAGACACATTATACTGACTCCGAGCCGACCAGTCCTTGTTGTACCCAGTAATGCCAAGCGCCAGGCAGGGACCAACAAGTACCCTATTTTAACGTCTTTTGGTATGACGCAGTCGAGGGATCGAACCCGCGACCTTCCGCTCTCCGGGCGGACGCTCTAACCACTACACCACGGAGGCGGTCTGGGATACGATGACTTGACTCAGCCAAGTCAGCAAGCCTGACCACTCGATCACGTTAGTTGACAAGAATAGGTTGCTGAAGACCAATTTCAACTGGATTTTCTCAGGCTCAAGATTTGGCAGTGCAGTATGGGAGATGCAAATACAGACCATATTTGATAAGCACATTCACTACGAGAGGTTTAAGTATATATTTCCTTTTTATGTTTTATCATTTTAACACTTTTGCAGGTAACACCAAACTGCACCCTTTTCTCACTGCTTTTCAGATTGGCATAAAGTAGTATTCAGGACTTCCCGGGGTGAGAAATACGACTCAAATAAATGATGTTTGCAATTATGAGGAAGAGAGGTGGCACCTGAAATATCATAAAATAATAGAACAAAATAAAGAAATCAAAATACTTTCATTTCAGCGTAAAGGGTAGTCTGGTCTTCGAATGCTGAGTGTATTAAAGATAAGAATGAGAGTAATTCCAGCAATGCTTGAATCACAGACAAGTGTATTTCATTCTCCTCTGTAAAGCTAAACAGTTATTTCACTACTCCTCACGCAACCAAGTCTAAACAGATGCCAAAAGTAAACACAGCATTAGGTCATTCAAACACAGGCAGAGCTTCTGACTAATTGTAAAGTATGATTTAAAGCGCACGATTGCTCTTCTGTTAGCTTACCACCTGATTGTTTTACCAGGTTTGATGGGGGCTGTTCAAATAAGGCCTTGCATCACTTTCCCTCAGATCACAGCTCAGCAGTGTGGGAAGCAAGCCAATAACACCACATTTCAAACGATGACTAAAAATCTTGGAATTATCTCCCCTTTTTATGTTTCCAACCTTCACCTTCGCCAGTGAACACAAAGCTTTTAAGAATTTCCTCTGGTAACGTTTAAACATTGAGAGACAAAATAGACTTGGCTTCAAATGTCACCACTATGACAGGTCTGCTTGATTTGAATAAACAGATTCTTTCTGGTAAATGAATGTTCTCTGCATATACAACAGCTGTTCGATCAAAGGCACCTTTGTAGCGTAATCAACATGAACAGAGGAAAAATAAACTGATAGACAGGTATGTTCACTCCATATCAAGATTTCTTTGATAGTTGGATAGGAACATGCATAGCTGATGAAGTTTTGCATTATAAATTATTGCATGTGTGAACATTAAAAACATATGTTTGAGTATCAAATTCTATCAGTTTATGTTTGCAATACAATTTTCACTATAGAAAAACATTTCCAGAAACCATTAACATACTATCAACAGCATTATGCATATAAAATATAATTACTTGTTGGTACGTTCAGGTAAAAATGTATGTTTCTGCAGAATGTTTAAAATCCATTAGCTTGGCGTAAAGAGATAAAGACAAACATGATAAGGTAAATTGAAAATATTATATAAGTCTCTGCAAAACAGACCAATCCGGGATTCAAACCAATGTACAATCAGCAGAAAGAACTAAGGGAAGCAACTCTGTACAACAGATCAATCCAGGATTCGAACCCATGACCAATCAGCAGAAAGAACTAAGGGAAGCAACTCTGTACAACAGATTAATCCAGGATTCGAACCCATGACCAATCAGCAGATAGAACTAAGGGAAGCAACTCTGTACAACAGATTAATCCAGGATTCGAACCCATGACCAATCAGCAGATAGAACTAAGGGAAGCAACTCTGTACAACAAGCTGTACCACCTCACACCATTTGGCCACCCGGGGCAACTCAGAGATCTAAAAGCGGACATTCCAAATGAACAATGTGGACTGTTTTTCTCCCTGTTTAACTGGCAAAACAAAAACTGCAGCCAGATCTTCTGAAGTACATTCTTTATGTAATAGAGTATTGTTAAACTTAGCAGCCTCTACTGATTATTTTCAGCTATCTATTTCTGTGCTGCAACTGGGCCAATACCCTCAGCTGGCAGAAAATCAGCGCACAAGTCTGTTTCATTTCAATTTTGTACCTAAACTTGTCCGACGGCAACAACTCTCCTAAACTTAGATCCACAGACAAGAAATACCTCAATTTACCTGGCATGTATGAACTAATTAACGCAGCAAAGGTTTACATACATTACTTACATAGTCCGTCTTACAGTCCCTGAAGCATATTATTTTTTGTTCCAACCCACCCTTACTGTAATGCAAAAGCCCTATATGAAGCAAGTCTTTTTTCTGAAAATACAGTAATTTCAGCTTTATACACATCAGGGGCGGTGTTGGATATACATGTATGTGTTTCAAGGTTGGTTGGTTGGTTGTTTTTTTAATGCACACTCAGCAATATTCCAGCTATATGACGGCAGTCTGTAAATAATCGAGTCTGGACCAGACAATCCAGTGATCAACAGCATGAGCATCAAACCACGTAATTGGGATGCGATGACATGTGTCAACCCAGTCAGTGAGCCTGACCACCCGATCCTGCGTATGTACAAGAAACCTACAGTCTCTTTTCCATGTGATGTTTTAGCATTCCGTCAAGTCATTTCACAGCATGTAATATATGAGAATGGTCTTAGTTCCTGGAACACCTCTGGTATTGTCAAAAGACAGTGGGATGCCCCTCACCAACCCCAGAGCTCAATGGTGGCTATTGTTCCTCTTACATCCTGCATCAGTTTAGGATTCACTGCCAGGAGTTGACTCAGCTCTTAAAAACCAATTAAGGTGGGATTTGATGGATCACCTTTTTCTGGGAATTGAAAGGTGTGCAAAAATAAGCTGTTATGATGTAATCAGCAAGTCAAAGGTCTGTTTTTATTGGTGCTTTTGTTATGATATTCTCGTCGGGTGTTCTGTGCGTTATCACTTTCTGTTATGATATAATAAGTTGTTTATGTACATGTCTTCACCTGCTGTTATGAAATAATCATCTGTTTACAGGTGTGTTTTACCTGCTGTCATGAAATATTCAGGTGTTCACAGGTATGTTTTAACTTGATGCTATGAAGTATTCAGCTGTTTACAGGTGTGTTTTACATGAAGCTATGAAGCAATCAGCTGTTTACAGGTGTGTGTTATCTGCTGTAATTATATAATCAGCTGATTACAGGTGTGTTTTATATGTTTTAATGACAACAGCTGCTTACAGGTGTCCTATCAGCTTCATTGAGATTACAAGTGTTTTAAATGCTTTAATGAGATAACAGCTATGTTCAGATGTGTGTTACAAGCTGTAATGAGATTAAAAGTTGTTTACAGGTGTGTTTTACCTGCTTTAATGGCATAACAGTGTGTTCAGGTGTGTTTCACCTCCTTTAACAGGAATAACACCTGTATGGATGAATGTTTTCTCTTCAATTTACCTGCTGTTTTAATATAATCAACTGTATATGTATGAATTGAACTGCACCTATGACATCACCTACATGTATACAGTATATTTACAGGTGTGTATCATTCTCCAAATCAATCCTCACCTGAAGAGTTAGCAATTTCTTTGTGATGAATTGTTTCCAAAACAATAGTAAAAGAATGTCTGAGACCATTGGTACCGCTACTGGATCTACCTACATCTAACTCATTCCTTTGTGTGACCCATGCATTTGGGCCCTTGTCTACTCATACAGTTGAATGCATGTACAGAAGCCATAACATTTTCGAGTCCCGTGCTGGGATTCGAACTACGGACCATCTGATCCGAAGTCGGATGGCTTGTCCACATGACCAAATGACGTTAAGCTCATCAGCAAGCTGAGTGAGTGAGTTTAGTTTTACGTCGCACTCAGTAATATTCCAGCTATATGGCGGCGGTCTGTAAATAATCGACTCTGGACCTGACAAACCAATGATCAACATCATGAGCATTGATCTGCGCAATTGGAAACCGATGACACATGTCAACTAAGCCAGCGAGCCAGACCACCCGATCTCGTTAGTCGCCTCTTACGACAAGCATGGGTTGCTGAAGATCAATTCTAACCCGGATCTTCACAGGCGCAGCAAGCTGACAAGGTAAGGATGTCATATGTGGGATGGCATATGTGGGATGTCATCTATGACTGACTCCATGCCCTGCTACATACTCCCCTGTGACCAGACGGCACATACCAGGTTGCATTGCCGGGTACTAAGACTCAATTTGCTGAATATAATGACACCAGTTTGTATAATCCCACTGTAAGAAGTTTATAGTTAACGCAATGGAATGTACCACAGTCTATAGCTCAAGCACTAAGGCATAGCCATGTATCTGTCTCTTCATATCAAAAGGAAACGTTGAATTGGATACTGACAATCTTGGGCCATCTAACACAGGTGCTACACCCACGGTCCTGTTACACAGAGATCTTAGGACTAAACAATCATAATTCCCTTTCATTAACACAAACGTACGACAACGATAAGATCGCCTTGTTGAACAGGGCCTTGATCTTAAGTAGCAAGTGGTTACTACTTATATTCCATGGCACTTGAACAGTTCTGACATTTGGGCATCATTCCACAAAGAGATCTTGGCACTAAGACAATCGTAACTCCCACGCTTTACCATAGGTTCATAACAGTTATTTGTGGATTGGAACAATTGTGATTGCCAAGGCCAACAAGCTCACAGCCTTGGTAGTGGTCAGTCTATACTAAGAGCACACTCACCATTAACGCAATGGAATTTATCACAGCATGAGCCTGGCATGTCTGTGGCCTTGGAGATGATCTGTAGCTGCGAGCCCTCTGGACACTGGACAGATGGACAGGACTCCATCCCCTTACATTTGCATCTGGAACAGCAGGAAATACATCAGCAGGAGCAACACCTACATCATCAAGTACAACAGCTACATCAGCAGGTGCAACAACAACATCATCAGGTACAACAGCTACATCAGCAGGTGCAACAACCACATCATCAAGTACAACAGCTACATCAGCAGGTGTAACAACCACATCATCAGGTAACACAGCTACATCAGCAGGTGCAACAACCACATCATCAAGTACAACAGCTACATCAGCAGGTGCAACAACCACATCATCAGGTAAAACAGCTACATCAGCAGGTGCAACAACCACATCATCAGGTAACACAGCTACATCAGCAGGTGCAACAACAACATCATCAGGTAACAGCTACATCAGCAGGTGTAACAACCACATCATCAGGTAACACACCTACATCAGCAGGTGCAACACCTACATCATCAGGTAAAACAGCTACATCAGCAGGTGCAACAACAACATCATCAGGTACAACAGCATCATCAGCAGGTGCAAACAACCACATTATCAGGTAACACAGCAACATCAGCAGGTGCAACAACCACATCATCAGGTAACACAGCTACATCAGCAGGAGCAACACCTACATCATCAAGTACAACAGCTACATCAGCAGGTGCAACAACAACATCATCAGGTACAACAGCTACATCAGCAGGTGCAACAACCACATTATCAGGTAACACAGCAACATCAGCAGGTGCAACAACAACATCATCAGGTAACAGCTACATCAGCACGTGTAACAACCACATCATCAAGTACAACAGCTACATCAGCAGGTAACACATCATCAGGTAACATACATCAAACAACCACATCATCAACAGCTACATCAGCAGGTGCAACAACCACATTATCAGGTACAACAGCTACATCAGCAGGTGTAACAACCACATCATCAGGTAACACACCTACATCAGCGGGCAACCACATCATCAGGTAACACAGCTACATCATCAGGTAACACAGCTACATCAGCAGGTGCAACAACCATCATCATCAGGGTCAGCAGGTGCAACAACAACATCATCAGGTAACAGCTACATCAGCAGGTGCAACAACCACATCATCAGGTAACACAGCTACATCAGCAGGTGCAACAACCAGGGTAACATCATCAGGTGTAACAACCACATCATCAGGTTACACAGGCACGCAACGCACATCATCAGGTACAACAGCTACATCAGCAGGTGCAACAACCACATCATCAGGTACAACAGCAACATCAGCAGCTACATCAGCAGGTGCAACAACCACATCATCAGGTAACACAGCTACATCAGCAGGTGCAACAACCACATCATCAGGTAACACAGCTACATCAGCAGGTGCAACAACCACATCATCAGGTAACACAGCTACATCAGCAGGTGCAACAACCACATCATCAGGTAACACAGCTACATCAGCAGGTGCAACAACCACATCATCAGGTTACACAGCTACATCAGCAGCTGCAACAACAACATCATCAGGTTACACAGCCACATCAGCAGGTGCAACAACCATATCATCAGGTAACACAGCTACATCAGCAGGTGCAACAACTACATCATCAAGTACAACAGCTACATCAGCAGGTGCAACAACCACATCATCAGGTAACACAGCTACATCAGCAGGTGCAACAACCACATCATCAGGTAACACAGCTACATCAGCAGGTGCAACAACCACATCATCAGGTAACACAGCTACATCAGCAGGTGCAACACCTACATCATCAAGTACAACACACCAAGGTACTAAACAATATGTAGCTTTCGATATACTGTGAAAATATTTATTACATTTATTTACAATCCTATATTTCTTATAATATGATTATTCGAAGAGAAATACTGTTATATCAACCCTGAAACAAATGCATTCAAAACAGGTGAGGCAAGTCCAAAACAGTTGGCAAATCTAGATCACTAGATTTCTGAAAATGAGTCTCTGGGATCCCGTTTATCATATTTCTTAAAAAAAAATTCTTTACTCTAGCAAAATTTTCATTTTAGAAACTAGATGGAAGTAGAGCAGAAAAGTTCAAAGAGACACATCAGCATGTGTCTATGTCTGTGGACCATGTTTTGTGTTGAATCCCATCCCATAAGGATCATGCTGAAGAAGACATCATATAGCAGTCTCGATCGGCATTTAGAAAAACAATAACAGACGAAACTGTTATGGATAACAAGTCCTTTATTGTTTGCAATGACATTCCGGGGATGCGTCTTGCTCCTTAATCACCAAGTATTCACATCTGGAGCTGGTGATCAAAGTAGGACAAATAGAGCAATGTCCACCATCATGATGTCTCTTTATCCTGGTAGTGAAGGGATGACAAGGTGACGTGGATGATCAAAGCCTGGTTTACCTGGTCAGGTAGGAATTACAGCACCTGCCAATCAGACCACCACCTTCAACTACCTTGTGATGTGACAAACTGAGATATTGGGCTTGAGAGGACTTAATCAGTCATCAACTCGTCATGTACAAGATGAGACGGCCAAGATTGACAAACACTGAACTGGCAGTGTATCAAGGGAGATAACTGTGAAGAATGAGACCTAAACGTGGGGGCTCATTTGTCTACTACTACATTCTGGACTACTATCCATCCCAGAATCACATATTTGACATGTTTTTGATCCTTGATTGTCATCACTATACCTGCGCTCATGGAGGTAGACGTAAATGCCATGTAGAAGCCATGCAATATAACTGCTGTAAAGTGTATCTCACCATAGCAAGGTGTCCAATATAGCAGTACCTCACCATAGCAAGGTGTCTAAGATAGCAGTACCACACCATAGCAAGGTGTCTAAGATAGCAGTACCACACCACAGTGAGGTGTCCAAGATAGCAGTACCACACCACAGCAAGGTGTCCAAGATAGCAGTACCTCACCATAGCAAGGTCTCCAAGATAGCAGTACCTCACCACAGCAAGGTGTCCAATATAGCAGTACCACACCACAATGAGGTGTTCAAGCGCCAGTACCTCACCCAGGTGTCCAAAATAAGCAGTACCACACCACAAGTGTCCAAGATAGCAGTAATTCTCCCCACCATAGCAAGGTGTCCAAGATAGCAGTACCTCCCCACAGCAAGGTGTCCAAGATAGCAGTACCTCTCCACAGCAAGGTGTCCAAGATAGCAGTACCTCCCCACAGCAAGGTGTCCAAGATAGCAGTACCTCACCACAGCAAGGTGTCCAAGATAGCAGTACCCATCCACAGCAAGGTGTCCAAGATAGCAGTACCCATCCACAGCAAGGTGTCCAAGATAGCAGTACCCATCCACAGCAAGGTGTCCAAGATAGCAGTACCCATCCACAGCAAGGTGTCCAAAGATAGCAGTACCTCCCCACAGCAAGGTGTCCAAGATAGCAGTACCATCCCACAGCAAGGTGTCCAAGATAGCAGTACCTCCCCACAGCAAGGTGTCCAAGATAGCAGTACCTCCCCACAGCAAGGTGTCCAAGATAGAAGTACCTCCCCACAGCAAGGTGTCCAAGATAGCACTACCTCCCCACAGCAAGGTGTCCAAGACAGCAGTACCTCACCACACAGGGAAAGAGTGAGGGCTGCAGTAAACACTGGGTGCAGGTTATGGGGCAGGTCAGTGAGGGCATGTCCACCACTTGTTGGAGGAGATAGGTCAGCAAGGGAGATTTATGACCTGTGACATCTACAATGATTTGCAGTGTGGGCACAACAAAGCCTAGTAACTCATTGGAGCCCTACTCCTGAACCAGTCTGCTATGTACACCAGTATTCCAATGAATATTATACCTTCAAGCCTGTCCATTCTGTGCTGCTGCTTTTGTACAAATTATATAAATTTGAGCAGACTGTCCTATGAGGATGTGAGATCTGACAGAGGACAAAGCAAGAAATCCTAACAGACAAGGGGGAACCACAGCAAAACCTGTAATGCCATCACACTCTAGGGAATAGGATACCCACTGTTAGCAACCATGTTCCAAAATTCTTAATAAGATGGCAGACTGTCGGCAGGTTACATATGTAACCATGCCATTCACATAAATGTAAGCACATACCCTCTCAGTCTTTCTCTATATTAGCTGTCCATGTCATCAGACAAGCAACTTTCCTACACACTGTAATAACCAAATCCTCTCTATAGTCGGCAAAACAACCACCAAATTCAAAATTTTATGGATCTTGAGCCACCGAAAGCACATTCCAGTCAGGACTGTAACCATCCCAACTTTTTTCAGTAAGTGTGGAGACTCAAGCATGTGGTGAAAGTGATTTTACAGAACTTGAAGCAACGTTATCCTGGAGCAAATACAAGCAGATCAAGTTGAGCGTCGGACCTAACTTCACATAAATTACCTTGATACATACAAAAACTATAACTGAAGACACAGAACACATGCAGAGAGGTGTAATGTTGAGGTATACGATTGCAGCCATGAACAATGGAGAATTGAGAACTCAAGAAGCTAGAGAAGATTGAAAAGGTGAGATGTCAACTTTGTAGGTTAATCAAACACAGCTCACACCTAGGTCTCCTCTCTTCACTCCCTCCTCCTCAGTATGCACATACCTCAAACCACTGCACCAGCTCTTATCTGTACACACACCTCACCCTAGTGCACCCCCCTCTCCTAATCTGTACATGCTCATATCACACCAGTACACCTTCTTCTTCTTTTCTACACACATTCCACACCAGTACACCTCCTCTTCCTCCATACACACACATTCTCCAGTACACCTCCCTTCTTTCATCTGTACACCAGTACACCTCCTCTTCTTCTTCCACACACATTTCACACCAGTACACCTTCCTCTTCTTCTCCATATACACACACACACATTCTTCTCCATACACACATTCCACACCTCCCTCTTCTTCTCCATACACACACAGTACACTTTCCACACCAGTACACCTCCCTCTTCTTCTCCATACACACACACACACCAGTACACCACCTCTTCTACACCATACCCTCTTCACCAGTACACCTCCATACATACACACACATTCCACACCAGTACACCACAGTACACCTCCCTCTCTCCATACACACACATTCCTACACACTCCCCTTCTTTCTTCTCCATACACACACATTCCACACCAGTACACCTCCCTCTTCTTCTCCATACACACACATTCCACACCAGTACACCTCCCTCTTCTTCTCCATACACACACATTCCACACCAGTACACCTCTTCTTCTCCATACACACACATTTCCACCAGTACACCTCCCTCTTCTTCTCCATACACACACATTCCACACCAGTACACCTCCCTCTTCTTCTCCATACACACACATTCCACACCAGTACACCTCCCTCTTCTTCTCCATACACACACATTCCACACCAGTACACCTCCCTCTTCTTCTCCATACACCCACATTCCACACCAGTACACCTCCCTCTTCTTCTCCATACACACACATTCCACACCAGTACACCTCCCTCTTCTTCTCCCATACACACACACATTCCACACCAGTACACCTACACCTCCTCTTCTTCTCCATACACACACATTCCACACCACCTTCCACCTACACCTCCTCTTCTTCACATACACACACTTTTCCACACCACACCTCCCTCTTCTTCTCCACACCACATTTCCACACCAGTACACCTCCCTCTTCTTCTCCATACACACACATTCCACACCAGTACACCTCCCTCTTCTTCTCCATACACACACATTCCACACCAGTACACCTCCCTCTTCTTCTCCACACACACACATTCCACACCAGTACACCTCCCTCTTCTTCCTCCACACCTACACCTCCTCTTCTTCTCCATACCACACATTCCACACCAGTACACCTCCCTCTTCTTCTCCACACAGTACACCTCCCTCTTCTTCTCCATACACACACATTCCACACCAGTACACCTCCTCTTCTTCTCCATCTCCACACCAGTACACCTCCCTCTTCTTCTCCATACACACACATTCCACACCAGTACACCTGCCTCTCTTTCTTCTCCACACACAGTCCACACCTACCCTCTTCTTCTCCATACACACACATTCCACACCAGTACACCTCCCTCTTCTTCTCCATACACACACATTCCACACCAGTACACCTCCCTCTTCTTCTCCATACACACACATTCCACACCAGTACACCTCCCTCTTCTTTCCATACACACACATTCCACACCAGTACACCTCCCTCTTCTTCTCCATACACACACATTCCACACCAGTACACCTCCCTCTTCTTCATCACATCCACACCCACACACACATTCCACACAGTACACCTCCCTCTTCTTCTCCATACACACACATTCCACACCAGTTCACCTCCCTCTTCTCTGTACACATACATCAAACCAGTGCAAACAAATATCTTTAGACCAAAAGTTATGCTAAACGGACAAATGCACACACAGGAATCATTTTTTGTGACAAACACAATTAATTTATTGTGTAAACCTTTATTTCATCCACATCACAATGTTCAAAGAAGAATCTTTAATCTTCAGCATGCAAGGTACATATAGCCAAGCATAACCAGGTGACAAGGAGCTCCATCAAGGTATCTGCCCACGGCTCCCCACGGAGTGCTATACAGGCCCAAACTGACAGGCTCACTCAGCCACTGACAAGGGAACCCTATATATCCCATTAACAGCAACAGTAGAACCACAACTGAAAGTTTTTTGCGGAGGGTAAATGGTGGTATTGTACCTAATGTGCTGGCTATGGCAAGCATCTTACGGCCCATTAAATGATGAATGCTGGTGTCACCATGCCCCATGCTTGGAATGCCTGGCACGGCTTGCAAACAGACATGATAAACATGTCACATGTCATGGGAGACGACCACTCCACCACATGACATTGTTCACAATGTTGTGTGTATGACATACCTGCATATCACCACAGGTCATCGATATATGTTTGACTGTTGTTGAATTTGAAATCAAACTAATTTGTAGCCATGTAGACTAACATCTAGTCTCTGAAAAGAACATGTTTCAGAAAAAAATAGATCTTAAAATATCTTAATAGAATATTATAACAAAATAAGCAAAAGACGTTCTTCATTTTCTAACAGCAGTAACTAATTTGTAGCCATGTAGATTAACATCCAGTCTCTGAAAAGAGCTTGTTTTAGAAAAAAAACTATCCAATAAACACATAAAAAGCAGTCAAGAGACTTTCTTCATTTTTTTGACAGCAGTAATCTAGACTTGCCAGATATCATAACTTGTACAACCTTTCTTGGATATATTAGTTTCAGGGTCTGTAGAGACTAGTAGCCAAGAGAAATCAGACACTTCTAACCCACAGACAAAATTCACAGTCAACTCTCACACGAAACAGATGAAATTGGAAAGAGACCTAAATTTTGATTTATCTAAAATATACATATTGATATTATACACAACTGTACTTCAAATCTTAAATTTTAAATGATGAAGCTTAAGCTTGTTATGGGTTCCATTTAAATTTTACTATAAATTTTGCAGATACATAATGTTTAACGAGACAACTATATTTCTGGTACTAACTATTAGGCCAGACCAATTTTATTTCTTGTTTTACGGAACCGCCTGTCATATTTTTTCAAGAATAAGAAAAAATACAAGTTAATTTTCCCCGCTTTTTGGCCAAAAATGTAAACTTACAAGAAATTTCACTTCATAAATTGCCAAAAGTAAAATACTTCGAGTATTTAGAAGGAATATTACTTTGACTGGTGATTTTATTTATATTTTCATTTCTTTCCCTCCTGCCTTTAGGTTTTCTGAGGACAAAAATCCATAAAACAAGAAATAAAATTGGTCTGGCCTTAGTTTGATAACATAGTAGTCTATCCTGATGTTCAGGAAGGGGTTAACTTGTGTCGGAATGTTACCTTGCTGTTTCTAGATGTTTTGCACACTTATTATATATATGCCTGTCTCATCAAAAACACCGACATGACTATATTATATTTTGATTGCCATCACATATGAATTTTGAGATACTTTGTACATTTTTCAGACTGTTTTCTACAAAATAAAGCTTTAAAGAAAGTTGGTTTACTGACAAGACCAAACACTTTCCAACCCAGTGGATTTGGTCTTGAAGTCCAGAGTGGTGCCAGTCAATAGGTCCAGTTTAGCAAGTTTCTGCTGTATGCTGAATAAGGGACTAAGTCAGTTTAACTATACAGGTGAAAACTAGTTTGCACTTTTATCTGCCAACATTTGTACAAGAAACTACATTAGGATTGGCACCATTATAAGATGGTCTTGAGGGAGGGTAGGCTGGGCGCCAGTGCCGACTTTACCTTTTCTTGATGTAACAGCATCCATCATCGGTCAGTTGATTGGGCAGTTCGTAGCTATCCTGCGGACACGTCTTGTCTTCAGCTGGTGGGCAGATAACTGACCGACAAGGTGCTGAAACACATGGTGATCAGGGTTACAAAAATAATAAAACGTCTCAATTTCTATATTGTCTATATGACAGAGAGAGAGAAGGTCATGAATGAATTGACACAGCAAAAGAAATATGGTTGGTTGGCATGTTGTTTTACGCCACACTCAGCAATATTCCAGCTATATGGCGGCAGCCTGTAGATAATCAAGTCTGGACCAGACAATCCAGTGATCAACAGCATGAGCATTGATCTATGTAACTGTGATGAGATGAGATGTGTCAGCCAAGTCTAACCACCCAATCAAGGGTTGCATGGGTTGCTGAAGACCAATTCTAACCCAGATCTTCATGGGTACACAGCAAAAGAAAGAAACAGGGCATTGCCAAAATTGTCACAACTATATTGGTGGTTCATGGAGGGAAGGTTTGAAATTTACACACTTAAAATGATGAAATTACACATTAATATTTCTTAATAATTGTTCTGAAGGAATGGGAGGGTGGTTGTTTTTGTGTCATGAAAAACTTTTTTTAATTGGGAGGTGAGCAAAATGTGATAGAGTCCTAAAATCTCTTTCTATTACAAAGCATAATTGTAAAATAACTCGAACACACCGACATTGACACCGACAATGGCATATAAAACATCTTTAGATGGATCAAGTTTAAGCATAATGGGCTCAAAATAACTCATAAATAGCCAGGCTCTTATTTCATTGCTTCACTCGGATGTTAAATGTTTTTGAAAGGGCTTAAACCCCTGCTAACATGTACAGACACAGTAAAAGTCAGGAAGATTGGGTGATTATCAATATTTGAGGCATCAGTATCCTGGAGTGAACATGTGCCAAGGTCAGAGGCTCCGAGTATCAGTGAGTGAGGAATGTTTTCTGCTGCAGTTAGTAATATTTCAGCGACTTCTACATGATTGAACTTGAGACAGGCACAATATTCCAGCTATATGGCGGTGGTCTGTAAATAATCCAGACAATCCAGTGATCAACAGCATGAGCATCAATATAGGCAATTCAGAAACGACGACATGTGTCAACCAAGTCAGTAAGCCTGACCACCCAATCCCATTAGTCGCCTCTTATGGCCAGCATGGGTTGCCGAAGACCTATATCAACCCGGATCTTCAGAGATTACACCAGTGAATAATTCCATGAGCACCAACTAAATAGGGACATATTTCACAACAGAAATAGTCATAACAAACCATTAGGTACAAGATGAACTAATCTACCCAATTCAGTTAATTTCACAGTGGGTACAGACTTGCCAATAAGGAAAACAGCAAAATGAAATATTTATGATAATTACTCGGCGAGTATATAAAAATATTACTCAAATTTGTGTTAAATAAGAGAATTCATTTAGGAGATAAACATCATGTGTTGACCAATTTCTGGGTGTTATTGAGTATTTGAAGCACAGGAATTCATTTGGAACCGATGGCGTTAGGGACCGTTCAGAATTTATGGCTAGGGGGGGGGTGATGATGATTTTTATGGAGAAGCATTTGGTATATTTGGGGGTCACCCATTATGTTCTGGGGATGTAGGGGGTCAGCAATTTTGTACACATGCACTAGGGAGGTCAGCAATTTTGTACATAAAAATATTTTAAAATCATGCTTAAAACTTTATGGGGGGGGTTAATTGATTTTGTACATGACATGCAGGGGGGTCACTTACTTTGTACAAAAATTTAAGGGGGGGTCATTCACATTGTACATGCTTCTCCATGAAAATCATCATCACCCCCCCTAGCCATAAATTATGAACGTTCCCTTAGCCGGAGGTTTCAAATACTCAAATACTCAATAACACCCAGAACTTTGCCAACACATAATGTTTATCGACATTGTAAACACAAAAGTAAACCATGGGTTTTACTGTCCGCACTCATTGACATCGAGTACGGGTACAGCAGTGAAGTGTCATCAGCCGGCCGTTTCAGCTGGTTCCCATAGTAGCAATTGGAACTGCTCATTTGTGACGTCATTCCGACTTTACGTCACAATATGATTTGAATGACGTCACCACTGCTGACAACGAAACAATTCAATTGTGCTCGATATTTGTACATGTCAATATGCAGTGAACAGTCTTGCAGTTTCCGGGAATCGAATACCATTTGATCATGTTTTCCAACCAATCAGATTAAAGAACACAGTAACTTTTGGTTTACAATGTGAAATATACAATAAGATACACAAAGTTCATAACGAACATGAATATAACTCACAGCTCCCACAAACATTTGGGTCCTCGCTACTTGCTATACATCCTAGTCAAAATGTATATAATGAACTATGATTAAAACAAACTAAAATTTGAAGTCACTTTGGGTTCTGATTAGACTAACAACTAGTCTGTGAAATAAACATATTCTACAGAAAAAAAAGTTCATAGTAAAAAAAATATATATAATGAAAAGGAGCCGTGGAAATCTAGACTTCCACATTTTCTAGATTTGCGCTTTCTTGGTTATATTTGCTTCAAGGTCTGTATGACAGACTAGGTTCTGTTATAGCCATAGTTTATTGTATATAGAAAAAAACTATAAAATATAGAGCATGTACACTGATAATTGTTATGGCCTTTAATCATATGAACAATCATTCAGACAGGAAAATGGGGATATTTATGTGCCCCATGAATGCAGTTGATGGGCAGAAACTCAAGACATTCTGACATGTTCAACTGACAAATAGTTTTTTGAATACCAACACTGTAAGGATCAAACAAAGTTTTTTAAACAATCAAAAATAAATACTCGTCTTAGGAATAATACAAGGGGAATGTACTTATAATGATGACAAAATGATGCCAAATGTCTTCACAACATACTGGTTGAGCAATGTCCAGGTAAGTATGTTCAGGTAAGGATGGTGCTACATAGCCATGTTTCTGAACAATATGATTGAGTGGCTTTAGTTTTATGCCGCTTTAAGCAATATTCCAGCAATATCATGGTGGGGGACACCAGAAATGGGCTGTACCCATGTGGGGAATTGAACCCAGTCCTTCAGCATGACAAGCAAACGCTTGAACCACTAGGCTACCCCACCACTCCCAGAAGAATATGAAACTATACCTGATGACTGACAAGGAACCTTGACACACATTTAAATAAGCTATGCGAGTTAATATGGCAGATAAAACAAGGTCTCAAGTCGCCATAAATGTGTAACTTGGTAATATGTAAATACCTTAAAACATGATAGCAATGCCTGTATTATTTCCTTCGTCAGTGTCAGTAGGACTGGTCATGCATACTTAATTAGTTTCATCTGTAATTTATCACCTGGTCTTTGTGGAACAATTGTGTTAAGACTGCGATGGTGCTGATGTCATGAACAAGTCAAACGGAAGACTGAGTCGGGTATTAACAGAACTGCCACTACCTCATGTCGGCCATGTAAGCCTCGGTATCAAGTCACATATCATGTGTCGGGAGGAATGCCTCCGATCTAGAGTGTGGTGGAAAAACTTGGGTAATATTATCCTGTCTAAGAGAACTTGCTACCAACTGATCCTGGTGGGTGCTGTTCCCCAAGATCTCAACAGCATCTCACTATCACTTAGATGTTTTTCAGGATCTGAAGCTTTATAACTACCGGTATCATCTGGATATTGTTCCCTAAGATCTGAAACAGCATCCCTATAATCTGGATATTGTTCACCAAGATCAGAACAGCATCACTATAATCTAGATATTGTTCACCAAGATCAGAACAGCATCACTATAATCTAGATATTGTTCACCAAGATCAGAACAGCATCACTATAATCTAGATATTGTTCACCAAGATCAGAACAGCATCATTATAATATCCCTATAATCTAGATATTGTTCACCAAGATCAGAACAGCATCACTATAATCTAGATATTGTTCACCAAGATCAGAACAGCATCACTATAATCTAGATATTGTTCACCAAGATCAGAACAGCATCACTATAATCTAGATATTGTTCACCAAGATCAGAACAGCATCACTATAATCTAGATATCTTGTTCACCAAGATCAGGAACACATCATCTAGATATTGTTCACCAAGATCTAGATATTGTTCACCAAGCAGCATCACTATAATCATTGTTCACCAAGATCAGAACAGCATCACTATAATCTAGATATTGTTCACCAAGATCTAGATATTGTTCACCAAGATCAGAACAGCATCACTATAATCTAGATATTGTTCACAAGATCAGAACAGCATCACTATAATCTAGATATTGTTTGTTCTAGATATTGTTCACCAAGATCAGAACAGCATCACTATAATCTAGATATTGTTCACCAAGATCAGAACAGCATCACTATAATCTAGATATTGTTCACCAAGATCAGAACAGCATCATCACTATAATCTAGATATTGTTCACCAAGATCAGAACAGCATCACTATAATCTAGATATTGTTCACCAAGATCAGAACAGCATCACTATAATCTAGATATTGTTCACCAAGATCAGAACAGCATCATCACTATAATCTAGATATTGTTCACCAAGATCAGAACAGCATCACTATAATCTAGATATTGTTCACCAAGATCAGAACAGCATCACTATAATCTAGATATTGTTCACCAAGATCAGAACAGCATCATCTATAATCAAGATATTGTTCACAAGATCAGAACAATCAGAACAGAACAGCATCACTATAATCTAGATATTGTTGTTCACCAAGATCAGAACAGCATCACTATAATCTAGATATTGTTCACCAAGATCAGAACAGCATCACTATAATCTAGATATTGTTCACCAAGATCAGAACAGCATCACTATAATCTAGATATTGTTCACCAAGATCAGAACAGCATCACTATAATCTAGATATTGTTCACCAAGATCAGAACAGCATCACTATAATCTAGATATTGTTCACCAAGATCAGAACAGCATCACTATAATCTAGATATTGTTCACCAAGATCAGAACAGCATCACTATAATCTAGATATTGTTCACCAAGATCAGAACAGCATCACTATA